TTCTCTGCCGAGAATAGAGAATGTTACGCTTGGCGTTGGTAAGAATGGAGCATTTGTCTGTCGTGCATGCAGACTTTGCGCGAGTGACTAAATATGCCTTCTTCGGCCAGTTAGAAGAATGAATAATTTATCAGGAAAAAGTGAATGCTGGATGCTTGTATGGGACAGGACTTGGCACATCACCACACCGCTTTGTCCAAATCGGCCTTAGCTACAAAGTCGTTCTAGCTGACGAAATTGCAAGACGTCACTTTGTGTACTGACTGATGTTTTCTGTCTTATGACCAGAATAAATGTCCTACCAACGACGTCAAAGTAGGCTCGATATCCATCTTGTTCATCTGCCTCCAGACATTAGCGTTCGGTCACCCTTTTGACCCTTTTGATCCTTTTGACCCTTTTTTTTGACCCTCAAGAATGCCGTGAAGAGCCTCAAAAGGTGCGCACGTCTCGCTGCACCGGATGTCTTCGAGTTCACCTTCTGCGCTCAGAGACCTTGACGCCAGAGGGCACCTGCCGAGTCGTCTTCATCCGCGAATCGGAAGTCTGTTGCTGCCCACTTCGACACAGTCTGGCGCCGATCTGCGACCGCGAGAAGGGCCTTCTGCGACTGGGCACTCGGAACTATCGTTGGAGCAGTGGCAAGTGTCTGAAACACGATCACCTCTGGCAGAAGATGATCGGTAAGCATGCAGATGGAAGGGAATCTCTGCTTTGCTGGCTCACAAGCCTCAACTGAATGGATTATGAACATGCATTCTAGGGCATTACATGCAAAAGTTGTGGAAGCTGGACGTTTCCTGGTCGCTATGAGACCAAAAGCGGTGTCTCTAAACTCACTATAAGCCCCTCTTTTGGGGTTGGTTTTTCTCAATTGTTGAGCTTACTTTAATTTAGAGTGGAAGTGTTGGGTGACGAGATTCGAAGGTTGGTTCCACCAGAAGACGATCAGCTGTCGATTGGCTTTACTGGAGGATTCATGCTGACGCGGTTTCCGAGGCAATGTCCTTCGATTCCGCTGAAAAGGTGCTAAGCTTTCGTCCGTCATATGACGGACTTCATCAGAGCGAGGTAACATCGTCACAACAAACTTCAAGCTAACGAGTCGAAATGGAAGTAAGCTCAACAATTATGAAAGAAGAGATTCCTCGAAAACCAACTTTTCTTCGTGATTTTTCTTAGTCAAAGAGGCTAACAGGAGAGCTGGAGACCAGCAGCAATTGCCTGAACCTTTAACTTGGTTTGAAAAGGTCGGAAAGAACGAGTCGTGAATTGGCGTTCTCAAAAGCCGAAGACAAATGGCTTTAGAGATGCGATGGTTGCATTTGTGGAAACACATGCTGAGCCTTATGGACATTGTAAGAGTGTGAAATCGTGTTTCATCCAACCTTCCATCAAGACTGAGACAAGACCGGTTCATAAGCCTGTCCCAGATGAGCAAAACGATGAGCATTTTACTCAAAATTGTCTTTTTGAAGAGAACCGTTTGTGCCCATTTTGCGATAACCGCCATGTTGCGGTGCAGACATCACTTTAAGCCAATCTTAAGCTGGCCTCAAGTGCTGCCAAACAGCCTAAAACGGGTCATGTGAGGGACATTTTTACATTTACTCTCATAAATCTAAATTATCTCTTGACCCTTCATGCGCATTCTGTCCAGTGGGGCTATTTTAGACTTCCGATCTCTTTTATGCCAACGTTGGGCATCTCAAAAAAGCTAAAAGATGGGCGCTGTCATTGTATTTGCCTAGTCTGTGCTTGCATCAATTACACTACCTTTTATGATTCACCATTTGCAATTAATCTGCATACTTCTTGGCTTGCTTTTAGCATCAACGATCTTTCGCAAATGCATACAGCCCCCATTTATGTCATCCTGTGCACCGTAAGCACCAGACATTTTAGTCGAATAGGAAACATAAATATTTATCGGTTTTATTGTCATTTTTTAGCCGTCTATCTATTCACTACTCCGAGATAGTCAATTGTTAATTAAAACTAAATTAATTATATCTTCTTGTACACTTCTTTTATTTTAATTTATCATTTAGTTTGCCCTAGACAAGAGAAGACGATCTACAGACGCGAGCCGAACGGATGGCTTCGACGAGTAATGGAATTCACTTCTCGCATAGGCTGTAAATGCGTTCGACGTCGCCAAGTTGCATATAAAAAATGGCGTATGTTGACATTTCAATGCAAAAATGCTCATTCATTTTAGTTGGACATGTTTACTTTTAACTGGCCTGTTGGTGCTGCTGGCAATGTTGGGCCTGTTTTGAGCTACTCTTGCTGCTTGCAGATAGACAAAGACTTCCGGATTATGATGGTACAGCATTTGAGATGCCCTTTGGCATTTCTTTTTATGGGAAAGTTGAGCTGAAGTGATACCAAGTAGGCTTTACAAGTTGCCTTGGCGATGCTGTTGATGCACTTGAGCTTATCATTGTTTTGATTCATGCTTGCACCTCTCCCTCTCCTCTTGACGCAGGGCTGGTTCAAAAACCCTCTCTTGATTGGTGTCAGTCGCATCCAGCTTTGACCCTTCACCTTGTTGGTTGGGTTTACGTTGAGCAGGCAAGTCTAATCATACGACACTCTCCTGCAGGTACGGGCAAAGCGGGCTGAGCCTTCATCTGTCACACGACAGGTCTCATCATTGCTGGGACGTATTGTTGTGTCAATCTTGAGCTCATAAAAATTATCATAACTAACCGGCAAGACTTTTCTTGCAAATTTTCACTATTACCACTTGATTATTCTTTTTACTATTTCTATTTTTATTAATGCACATCTGTACTCATGTATGCCTTTGTATGTATGTAGGCATGTATGACGTACGAATATTTTAAATTAGAAGTAGACATAACAAAATTTGACCGGACTTGGCGATCATTTTACGTTTTTGCAAGCCGGAAGAGAAATAGAGAAATGGAAAAGGAATTCATTTCTTCAAAAGACGCTAGGGCAACTTTAGCCTATAGTCTTCCAAATATAAACAAGTAAAAAGTTCATTAAAGAGTGCATAGGATTATTTTACAGACAATTAAGCAAAGTGGCTGAATATCGGAAATATCCTGTGAAGATTTAGTATGAATTCGCTAATTGGTTGAGTAGCAAAGTAATAGTGAAGAGGATATTTTGGTAAGTTTCTATTTGGTACTAACGCATATCAACATTCCAGTAAAATGGCCTATTAAGCCACTAGTAATTAGCTTAAAAAACACACACAAATGGTATTGCAGAGAAAGTTCAGTTTTATGACATCTTAGTCTATCCATCAGTAACACATACTTAACATTAAACGATATGTTTTATGAAAAAATGCAAGCCCATGCAACTTGGCCTTGTTTGTCTCCCATTTTAGCTAATAATTACATGTTTATCATGTGGGAACGCTCCATAGAAATAAGATTGACACCACAACTGTTAGATATATGGATGACTAATTTGCAATTTGGCTGAATGGTAGACATATATTGATTAATCGGATGGATAATAGTATCAAGTGCATCATTAAAAAGTGGAGAATGATAATTATTTACCATTTTGGAATGCTTTCGTTATCAGAGCAAGGGTGAACATAATAAGCCAGCACATGCTGACTTTATCCTTAACTTTTCTTCCAAGCATAGTTACAAAACGAGGGTGATGATGAGTTGGATAGGCTTAAATAAATATTTCTTTAAAACAATTATTGCCTAGGCTTCATGTCCTATTTTTTTTATCGTGTATTTTCTCTAAAAATGTTAGGGATAACTTCAGTTATATCGAATTTTGGAAAGAAAGGGTGCTATAAAATAATGTATTTATTTGGTTGCTTCTATGCGAAAGAAACATGTCTTCCATTTGGACAGGCACACAGTGTCTGTAGCGGCTGTTCATGTCAAATATAAGCGGAAACTGGATATGACATAGAATGGCCTCGAACTTGTCATTTTATACAACCTTATTTAGGTTAACAAGTCATATGTATATGTGACCTGTTAACCTAAATATGGTTCAATAAATGCCACCTTGCTCTGAGGATGATTTCACCAGAATCGCATTAGAATCTTCCAGTATCTGTTGGTGGGATTGACCCGCGAATATCTTCATCAACTATTTCCACTCGAAATTAAAGTGAGTTTAGTAATCGCTTCATAATCTGTTGATGTTAAATAGTCTCCCCAATTTGTCGTTCGCAACAGACGTACCATAATCGACAAGCAGAAGATGTTTCACGACCAGTTTCCTTCCTGTGCTCTTCCACTTCTTAATTTTGGAGCTAAACAGTTTTGTTTCACATCTTCAGTCGCAGACCCGCCACATGTTAATTGATGCCTTATCCGATCGGTCCTGGGAAACACGGTACATTCTGAGACTAGCTTGGCAGCTGTAATTGTGCCTAAACATTTTACTTTAGACAAAAGGAATACATCGTCTCTCTTAAGAAGACAAACAAGGTTACGAAATGGCAATGCCGTCTTGTTGCTAAGATTAATTGCACCGACATTCTTAATAATGGATAGGAAATCGGGCCCATTTGT